TTCAACTGCGTATGTTAGGTAACTGAAAATAAAAAAAAAAAAAGTGAGAAAATGATTTTTAGAAGCCAAACAGGAAAGCAATCCACAGCATGTTATTGAAAAAGCTTGTATTTTAATTGTGCAGTTAATGGAAGACGCTTATTATCACAATATCACAAGGCCATATATTATTAATGAAGAAAAACTGAGAAAACGGAGAGAATTGAAAATTACTTCACTACATTTTGTCCCACAGGATGTTTCTTCTTCTGCTTTATGTAGTTTAATAGCAGAGAAACCATGAATAATGTCACCATTGCAAGCCTTGATGGTGAATGTTTTCTTGGACCTTCCGTGGTGCTAATGCGGCACTGATACATTTTATGGAGATTGCTTTAAGCTCACTGTAGAATCAGACAGGCAATAGTTTACTCAGGCTGCATTTTAGAAGCCTTCTCAATAATTAAAATGAAGGCTGAAATCCTGGAAAGGAAAAGGAGACCCACAGCATGAAAAAAAGGGACTAAATATTGTTTGATAGCAGTGTGATTAAAGCATTCACCTGGGGAATAAGAGAATTAGTGAATGTTTAATATACACCAGACATTCAAGGCTTGAAGTCATGTCATCTACCTGCCAGAAGAAAAAAATAATAACAAATTCTGAAGTTATATCCAAGCGAACCGGTCGCCCAAATACTTCATCCTATGGACCTGGAATCAAAAGCGATCAAGTCATTACTATTCAGCTGAGTTGCAATTCCTGCACATATTCATACATCAGACAAAAAACTTTTAGATTAAACTACTTTCACTGCACATATAACCCTCATGGAGGTTTTTAATATTGTTTGTTTTTTATGTTGCAATTCTTCTACCCTGAGAACAAGGGCTTATCAGTTAACATGCTCAGCTGATGCCATGTCACATACTAAGCTTTTGTAAAAGTATTGCTTTGATGTTTAACTCTCATGGAAGAGAGTACAGTTGAATTCTTGATCTGTTATCTTATAGGAATGGCTAATTTTAACAGCAATCCTCATTACCAACCATCCTCACGTGATGGCTAAGCGTAACTGGCGTCAGGCACAGCCAAGTCAGCAGTGATGAAGCAGATCTGAGGTGAAGCCAGAAAGTCATGTCCATGGGTCAGGGTCTGGGTCAATGGGACGCATGGCCAGGCACGGGCACAGCTACAACATTCGCTGCAGCAGACCTCCAGCGGGGGCCAGGCACGAGATCATCGGCTTAAGAGTCACTCAAAGCAAAGCAAAGGGCAGCCTCCACTGAAGCTTCTTCTAACTCCTCCTCTGAAGGACACCGGCTGCATTACTTCTCATCTGGCCCTGAACCAGGCAACCAAACCCCAGAAAGCGTAATGATGGTGAGAATGCTCTCAGAACCCTTACAAGCACGTTCAGTTTCCCAGGTTGTCTTCAGAATGAAAAAATCTCTACTCTTCCAGTGGAAAATAACATTAACCTTGGCATCACCAAACACCCAGGAAACACTACGGGTTACATTGCTTTCTGGTTCACTTGATGAGTAATCAGTGGAGCAAATATAATCTCACCGGTTTGAAGCAGGGAAAAAACTTAAAAGTATCTACCAGGCACAACAGAAATGATGCTGAGATAGCTCCAAGCTTCTAATATGCAATAATCATTTCACTCTTAAGTTCCAAAGTATGAGATTCACCTCTTCTAACTGAGGGAACAGTGCACACACCTAAATGTAGATCTCCGACGTCACTTGGGAAGCACTAGGGCACATTGTCCGGTCTCTGGCTCTCACTCCTGGGGGTCACAGCTCTTCCATGGTCCTGCGTCACACTGGTCACTCCAAGCTCTTTTTGTAGATAATGGGGAGAAAGGCAGCTGCAGAGAATGATTTATTTGGCATACCTTAAATTTCTGTTTTAAGATGAGATTAATCACCCTGCAGAGATGCTTCTTTCTCTCTATCAGTGACAAAGGGAGCCTTGAGTGGCTGGCTGAGACCATAATCTCCAGCTTTGGGACACATAAACCAGAGCAGATGAATTCCACCCACTCTGTCTCCTGTTTCTGACCTGGAGGGAAAAGCAAAGATATCCAACAGGCAGTAACTTCCCGCTAGCAATGAAATGATCATTCCTGGCATCAGTTTCAGTGTCCTAAAGCTCCTGTACCAAAGTCTTATTCACTGGCCTATTCTTTTAAAAAGATAATGGCATTCAGTCCAATACTTAGCCCCCTGCATGGCCTGAGCCTCACACTATGGACAGATTGCAAGGGGGATGGAGATAGGAATAGTACCGTATTATTTTCACACAAGCCTCTTGCTGCGGTGGCTGGTTATGAATCATTTCACACCCCAAGACAACAGAAGTCCCCAGTACCTCAGTGTAACACTTTATCTCCATTAAAAAGTTAAACAGAGAGCCCAGCTCATGATTGTCATGTAGCAACTGCCATTTTTGTCCTTAGTAATTGAAAAGAAGTAGAACTGCGAGAGATACAACAACCCCTACTCCTTCCTGCAGGGCTAAGCCAACTACTGTGACATTGGCAGGCATTTTGTCCTTGACTTGCAAGGGCATTGAGCAATCTCTTTGGGCTTTACTTGAAAGCTGACAGTCTTACCGTGTCTTGATCTCCAGGAAATATGGTGCTAATTTTCCTGGCAAATTTTTCTCAAATGTGAGTAGAGGATTTCCTGGTTTAGCTGAATTCCAGAGTGTTTTTAGGAAAACAATAGATCTGGATTTAAAACTAGTTAGACAAAAATCCCCCCAGCAAATTGTTTCCTTGCTTGTTGTTACATGTTACAAATGCATACTTATGTCTAGTCTGACCTTGCCTTGAGTCTTTGCCCAGCTGCTGGGTAATTTTTGTCTGCTAGCTTGGAAAGGTCTGTGCCATCCATTGGTTGCGACGTAGCTGTAGCAGACTCTGTGGGCAAGTGCACAGCGAAATCCTGCTGCCCTGACCAGCAGGGCAGAGCCAGCTGTGTGCTTTCCAGATGTGATACGTTACCCACCTGCAAGCTGCCAATGTTGTGCTGTCAATAACACCATATGGATTCCTTGCTCTCCTTTTCTAAGACAAGTAAAAGCTCAATTACCCTCAGGTTGTTGCTGACCTTCATGAAAGGGTAAGGATAAAAGCATCTTGATTGCTTCCCCAATTACAGGTTATTACAATTTCATGTGGTTTTAGGCAATTCAGCTTCAGTGGTCTCGTCCTGTTGTGACGTTTAGATGGCCCTGAGTGTGATTGCACTACAACACCTCTGCAGCAAATTGTTTAAGTAAGTGGAGTGATATTTTTGGCAGCAAAATGCAACAAAGGGATAGAGGAGCTGCTACACTTTCCTTGGTAACTTTACACAAACCTCAAAACACTGAGAAAGATGTTTTACTACTTTCCTTTTCTCTTCTGTTGTATGAAAAGGTCATGTAGAGCTTGTTCCTGGTTAATGTGATCCCTCTTTACTTAGGAGAGGCTGGACAGGTACAGGACAAACTTTTAGCGAGTAAAATTTACACCAGCAAATGGTCTGTGTGATGTGTTGTGAAGGCTGCCTGCAAAATGGTTTTACCCCTGGTGAATGAGAAATGCTCACACTTGGAACCAAATATACAGATTATTTCTCTCATTTCCTTGGATTAGTCTCAAAGGTCTAATACATTGCTCATGGTGATGTAAAGCCTGAGGAGATTACCTGACTTTTGAAGTGTACAGGAAGTTGGATGCTTGCTGCTTTCTCATAGCGTCAATGAGGCATGGGGGAACTCCAGTTAAAATAAGAGGCAGAGCATGTAAGATGATCATACAACATCTTTCCAAGCACAAGGCTCTCTCTGCCTGCAGAATCATTTTCATAAGGTATCTAAACAAGGTTAAGAACTTAGGTAGGCTGGAAATGTGAGCTTTTATTTAGAATAGAAGAATCCCTCAAACTATTTTAAAGATGCCCACAAAAAAACAACTCAAAAGTTCATAGAGACCATGAGATCTCAAGCTTCTTGACGTGTTTATGACCTATGAGCCAACTAATTTTATGATTACCTGTTTCAGAGTTTCATTGATCTTTTCCCTGAAGTTGCCTCTTTGCTGTTGTCAGAAGTGATACATGAATGAACCAATGATCTGCTCAAGCCTGTGAATTCCTAATTTAGGAAACCAACCAATAGTGATTTCATTACAATGAATTGTCTGAATCATGATTAGATTTGCAGCTGGAAATTCTGAAATAATGTATAGGTTTAAGCATGAAGAGAAAATATTTCTGACTAGGAATACAAGCATCATGTGCAACCTTAACTCATGTAAAGAAGCCTAGCTCATGAAAAGAAGCATCATGGAATAGTAAGAGCATAATGGGGTGATTTAGGAGATTTGGGTTCAATTCTTGGCTTCCACTAAGTGCATTTGGATGAAAGTCAGTTAAGGCATATGTGGAGATCTTTTTCTGGATCTGTTTTGAAGGGTTTACAGCATTTCCATGCCAAACTCCTCATTGATTTCTTTAGCTTCAGGTCCACAGCCCCAGCATTTGCCTACCACAAAAAAGAATGGCTAAGACATTTTATCAGGAACCTCTAGTAATAACACACTGTTGAAGAGTGACAGTACATCTTAATTGCTGCTGTCATTTCCAGAGACAATTAATTAAAGTTGTTGGTGCTCTGATGCTCAGAAACACCGGTGGCATATATAGTTTAAGGCAGTGGTTTACATTGGTTTTGGTGGGAAGGACATGCTCAGTCCTTTACCACAGCTCAGCTGAAGAGTGGTAATTCTTTATTTTTAGGTAGCTCAGTTGCTTTAGACTGTGTGACCATATCCCTCAGGCAGGTACTTCCACTGATGTAAATGGTTACATGTTCCCCCAAGAAGAAACTCTCCTGAAATTAATT